CACAATATCCCCATAGACAGTTTGTCTTTCTCTTCCTGAAGCTTTAGTATGTTAAGTGCCATAGTTTCACTAATATAACAAACCATTGAATAAGCACACTGTAGAACCCCAGCAGCGTCTGCTGAAATTCTGTTTTTAACCCCTTAAGGACCCTTTCGCTGCCAGGACCTTTTTTATTTTGTTTTTTTGCACATATGATATAATCCACATTTTAGGCCTGAAAATTACTTCAAACTCCCAAAACATTATATATTTTCTGAAAGCCAACACCCTGTAGAATGAAATAGATGCAATTGCAAATTTGTATGTTGCACGAGATTAGCGCAAGTCTGTATCAAACCCCAAACATTTAGTAAAAAATGCACTTAAGAGTAATTTTAGTGCCCCAAAACACAATAAAATACCAATTTTTTTGCGTAGTGCAGACTGCGCTTCAATAGCTTTTTGCTTGGCTTCAGGGGCTAAGCAATGACAGCTCAGTGAAGGTAAATTTCCTTCTGATGTACTAGAGCCAGACAAAGATAGAAGAACAACGTCCTGGTTCAGGTGAAAGGCCGGGACCAACTTAGGGATAAAAGGAGGAGTTAAACCTCAATACGACTTTATCCTCGTGCAAGACCAGATATGCTTCTTACAGGACAAGGCTGCCAGCTCAGACAGGGGTAGGCAACCTCGGCACTCCAGTTGTTGTGAAATTACAAATCCCATCATGCGTTTGCATCTTGGAGCCATGCCTAGGGCTGTCAGAATCTTGCAATACTTTGAGACTTTTAGTTCCACAACAGCTGGAGTGCAGTTTGCCTACCTATTCTCTAAGCAATTGTCTACCTTGCATCCACTGTTTGTGTTAATATGTTAATTGCATCAGCTCAACCCTTGTCTGCAATTGCCCTTTGTGTAGTCAAATAATGGGCACATGCAGGAAAAGCCAAATCAGACCAAGCTATGTACAGTATTGCACGGTAGGGCTGTTAGACATGCAGGTATGCGTCATACATTCAGACAGAGCAGCCAATCTAGACTTCAATGCAGAGTTTCAGCAAAGCTCATCCTGCCACGGCAAAAATGGAACCCACTCTCTCAATTAAAAGCACTGAAAGGGTGCATCCCATCTTTGCCATATGCCAGGACAAACGTTGGTGAAACTCTGCATTCTAGATTGAAGACTCCCTTTTAAAGGAAAAAAAACCCCCTTCTTCTTGGGGAAGAAAAACCAACCTAAGCCTTACCCAGGACAAGATCCCGATACTCCTAATGATCTGTCGGTTCCAGCACTGATTTTTGAAGGTTCAGGATCCAACCACACCTTTTTAAAGTCTGGACTGTCTGCAGCACATTGTTGGTCAGAGTTTGAGCTGACTGCTCCGTTAATGTGAGGTTGTCTAGATATCAGATGATGGAAATACCCTGTGAACCAAGTAAGGCTAGCACAGGTGCCAATACCTTGGTGAACACTGTTGCGTGGAAGGCAGGTCCACAAACTGGTAGGGTTGAGTGACCACAGCAAAATGGAGGTAGTTTCTCCTCAATAGGTAGGGTCAGTGTTTTATTAGGACGGGAAATGACCGGATCAGCAGTAGCATGGCCCACTGTTTACTAAAACTCTCTTCAGACAGATATTCTTCTTAAAAACCTTTGTTTGGAGTGAATAGCTTAACAGGAGTATTCCAATCTACATACAGAACAGGTTCAAGTAAGAAGTGTGCCAGAAAATAAGTTTTAAACAGTCAAGGGGGCCTTCTGGTGATCCCAAACTAGTAACAGCAGTAGTAGCAGTTATAGGCCATTACATGTGTAAGGTGTCACATGCCATTTCAATAACTAAAATGTTATCTTTAAAGGGTTTCTAAACCCTCCGTTTTTTTTTGCATATATCTACTGCTGGCAAGCAGTAGATGTATGCAAAAAACGCTTTAAAAGTGGTTTAAACATACCCCGTCTTCGCCGCGCGCTCCCGCCCGAAAATCCCAAACTGCTTGGGCGGGCGCAAAGCATCTTGGGGCAGGCGCATGCGCAGTTCGGATTTTCGGCCGGGAGACGAGGAGAGACGCAAGGTAAGTCTATGGACGCGTGCACCCGCATGCAGACACCTTGGGACCGATTGTGCCAGCAAGCACAGAGGAGTCAGCACTGGATCAGAGACCCGCAGAAGCGCTGGAGGGACAGATGAAAACGTCAGGAAAGAAGAAGATCGGATCAAGAGACATCATTTAAAAAGGTAAGTGCTGACATTAACAGGGGAATTTTTTTTTTACTTTAATGTCATTTAAAGCCCGGGTGCCACACAGCTTTTATGCTTCATTTAGGTAAGATTCATACTACCACGTTAGTCTTAAAGCAGAACTAAACTCTTTTTCTTTAAATGCAAACACTTTAAAAAATGCTAGTTAGAAATAGTGCATGCAAAAATGTAGTAAATGCCAATATTCAGTTTATGCCTGTCAGATTTAGTATGTTTATATGGATTACTAAAATGTGACCATCATTCTTGCTCATTGTGCTGCTTTATCAGGAAGTGAGATTTCCTTCTGGCAGATCGTTTGCTAAAACTATTTGAAATGTTAGAGATTTGACACAGCCAGCATGACGAGCACATTGCTACAGAAAAATAGCAGTTAGTGAATACTCCAACCTACATTAACCTACACATGTAACTTGCAAACTTTTCAGATGTTATAATAACAGGAAACACTTTGTTAAAGTTGCTTTATTTCAGAAAAAAAAAGAAAATATAAAAAAGTATCCATATGTATAATTTTTTACAGAACATAACATATTGAAGGAAACTTGTGATACAATGAATATGTGGCCTACCTTTGCCAACTTTCATGAAGTCAGCAAATAACTGAATAATTTTGTCCAGATTCTATATAGGTTAAAGTGTTCATTTAAAAAAAATTTAATACAGCAACACAAAAATGATATATCTTACAGATATTGATCCTCAACAGTTAATAGAGCATACAACAGTCATAAAGGGAATCATGATTGTTTAACTTCTCTAAAGGTGCCCATACACCTTGCGATTATCGTACGATAATCACGGGAAATCCCGCGATCGTACGATAATCGGCAGGTGTATGGAAGGCGTGCGACCGTTTCTACTGTACGGTCGCACGTCTTTTGTCTAACGAGCATGTTTGAAAACCCGCCGAGAATCGTACGATTGGCGGCGGGTTTGTGGCATGCTCGTAAGACAAACGCCAAACGGGCCGGTGTGCGCAAGCGCACACTGCCTGTTCAGCATTGCAGTTATCGATGATCGCAAGTACGATCTCCCTGGCCAAGATGGGCAGATCGTACAAGCTTTTAATTAACTTACAACGCTCACAAGACAAAAGTCTTGCGATGGTTGTAAGGTGTATGGGTACCTTTAGTCTTGAGGTAGTTAAAAGAATGGTTTTCTAAGACAGTCATGTGCATCAGCTTAGATAGGCCATAATGAAGGGAATGTGTTTTTACCAATTTTGAGGCTATATGCAGCTACAAAATTTCAAATTA